CCGGACAACGAACCGGAAGAAGGAGAGGTTCACGGTTCGACCGGTCGAACCGGGGTCGAACCGGATGACGTAATAAATAATAAAATTATTAAAAACTATAAAAAAACAAGAAATTTTCCTACAATAACATCATTCCACATTCCATTATTATATCATACTAATCAAAGAACATAAATATTGCATCAATTCAATTTATAAAACATAAAAATAACACAATATAAACATGGTAACAAGTAAGTTCATAAAAAACAAGTTCATAAATAAATAAATAACTCAACAAACGAGAAATTTTTGAGAAATGCGTACCGACCATAGTTTGCAATGCAAGCAGTGCACAAAGTAGCAGGTTATGAGTAGGAGAGCACTTTGATATTTTATGTTTATGAAAATACCTTGAGGAATATCTTGAGAAATAGAAGCAGGTTGATCCACATTTGCTCTTTGTGAATATCTTCTGTTTTGAAACCAGTTCCAAACCTACAAACTTCAAAATAAATAAGGTTTGCGAGGTTCCTCTTTTAAAAAGAAAAAAAGAGACCATGGTGCAAACTTGCAATGACAACAATAATAGTACATTTGGAAACACAATCTAATTTAATGAATTTCAAACAAATATAATAAATTTAAAAAAGTAAAATTTAAATACTTCAAATGTTTACTACATTTCTTTATTACGAAAAATAATCAATTATTTTAAAGACCTGTATTTTGAAATATTTCATACTCATTTGTTTAAAAAAAAAGGCCTAGAAAATATTAAAGTAGATTACCAAGAGTTATTAAGTAAGTTGTGTTAGGAGACTCTCCGGCCTCTATATAATTTATAGTACATAAATATTTAAAAATTGAATCTAAAAATTGTTTTAAAAACAGTAAAAAATCATGCAATACGACCTAAATGCTAAAAACATCAGAACAAAAATTAAAATGATTTAAAAGCGAGTATGAATATAAATTACTTCTCTAATTTCTGCGAATTAACCACAAAATAAAATCATTATATAAACGCTTTCAACTGTAATAACGTGAGAAAGTCAAAAACTCTTCGCAGTAAATTCCAGCGGATGGCTATTTTTTAATTAATTTACTCCCATTTATTCACTAGTCCCAGGTCCACAAAGCCACCGATTTTATGCTCTTAAAAAATATTAAATTATATATATAAAATTAATATTAATATAAATATATTATATAAAATCAATATAATATTAAAAGCAAATAAGATTTAAACTATTATGTAAATATTTAAAACTAATATTTATTGTTAAAAAATATGAAATATATTACAAATAAAACCAACAAACATGATCTTTAAAAAACTAATTACATTATCCAAGAAACTTTCCTTCCTCGCCATGTAAAACTAAATCCCACAATAAAAGGAATTATGCTCAAAATTACGTAGAATGTAAAATATACATCACCAAAGTTTTGGCCGTAGGTAAAATGGTGTATGAAATCAAAGGAATATAAGGGTTTAAAAAATATATACTGATGGATAAAAAAATATTAATAATTCTGGGTAAAATAATTTGCTATTTAAGAAAAATGGTTATTGACTAATTGAAGAAAAATTATTTACACTCAAGCACGTATCCTCAACTCAAATAGGATGTAAATAGTCAACCGTCGCCTCTACGAGCCAGCTCAAGCTGTAGTTAGAAGCTTATCGAGCTACAGTATTCGTAGCATCACTTCAAGCAAACCGGCGTAAACGCCGTTGATCATTCATTAAATTAAAATATATTTAATAATTAATTTAAATTATTGATTATATAATATATATTAATAATCTAAATTAATTCTATATATTAAAAAAAAATTGTAAAAAATGAATTTTGAATTCCAAAACTAAGAAATCATGCCTAAAAAATAAAGTGAAACTCGAGCAATCAAAGTCTAGTTTGCAGCCCTATGAGCTATTTAAGAAGTAGAGCTCCAGGCTAATAGTAAAACAACTCGAGCTCCAATAGCAACTAAACACTTACTCAATTAAATGTACTTCGACTCGAGCTCAAATCGTTACACTAACCTTGCCTCAGCCGCACACCGTCAGCCGCCACTCACCACCATCCTGAAACCACCCTCCGACGGTCAGCCCATCACAAAGCCATAGTGGTTGCAAAGCCACCACTGCTTCACAAATTTG